TGTTAATGTTTACGTCTATGCGTTATGCTTTTTTTTTTTTAATTTAAGGTCGCACCAACTACTAGGTCATTAGCGACCACTATTGCTTGTAACGGTATGGTAACTGTGGGTTGACACGATAATAATGATGACAGGGGGTGAAAGGACGAAACACATCGAACCCGCGATCCTTCGGTCCGAGTTCGCTACAGCACTACTGCCTTAGCGATCTCGGCCACCGGATCGGCACTTACAACAAATGTCATGTATCTTCATGTGAAAGTATATAGCGGAATACGATAGGTAAAATTGACCCATTGCCAAACTAGATGATGATATTATCTTATTCTACACCCAAAATTATCTAGAAAAATAAAGTTTTATTATTGTTTATGACACCATAGTGACGTAATATCGAAACATGTGTTTTACGCCCTTTTCCTAGTTTTGACGCTGAATCTCGGCAGAATGTGGATTTTTTGTCACGTAACGTAACAAACTGTATTCTTTAGACAATTTTCTAAGATATGCACTACCTTTTTATGATAAATTTGATATTTAAGACCAACATAAGGAACTATTTTCTCTAAACATCTTATTTTTTAAATTTATTTACAAGATTGTTATCATTTCAAAGCAAATGCTTAATTTATGAAGAAAATGACTATTTTTATTGCATTCCTCGTCCAAAAATATGTAAATAATTGATTGACAGATTCAATTTCACTTTGTGTCAACCCCTTTTTTGGACTTAGAAACCCATGAATTCACAATTTTAATTTGTTTTGTGCTTAGTAAACTGTCATATTATAAGGTTCTGTGATTTTTAACTCACGGTTTTCTCTGTTTCTGAATTGATAGAAAGATTATGTTTCCTTCGATTTGTATAAACTACGAACATATTTCGTACCTGGTTGAGAAAACCCTACTAGCCATCCGAAAGTCGGCTCAGATCTTGCCAGCTGGGGAAAGTTCACCTCCATCTCCAGAGCAAAAACATACATTACACTTACGGGACTAGTTATCCTGGTAGTTGAGATACCCGGACTCACTAAACAATGAATAAATCAATTTTAGGTTTGGATTTAATATATTAACAATCTCATCTCACATGCCTTAATCTCAATTCAATTGTTTTCTAGAGATATTGTTTAAAAAGTTTGCAATTCTGCAATATACAGAAACTTTCGGATGCATCTTATTATCAAAATGGTAGTGTGTAATTGGATGTACGGTAATGGTTGTGTGTAAAGGGACTGATTTGTCCGTGGACGGCGTCAGCAACCCGCATAATGTAGTAACGATGTAAGATGAACTTCGGTAAATAATTGTTTTCTTTTACCTTTAAATGCTAGCACAAGAACTTCAAATTTTGTTCTTCTAATAGAATCACTTCATGTCGGACTCCATGATCAACAATGCATATCGCCAGATTTCATTCAGGTAATGGTACCCTTTGTGTCATTCTAAACTTCTCGCATTATTTTGGCATCGTTTTTTATTGCTTCAAAAGACTCACAACAATCCAAAACATATCCATCAAATGTTCAAACAGTAAAACACTTGGAACAATGGACTTATTTTTTGTAGAGAGTATGCTTTTCTTTGGCACTTATTGTTATGTCGTGCGGGGAAGTGGAAGGACGGTAAGGGCAGAAGGTGCCCTCTGGGCCTAGGTCAGATGAGAGGGAGCAATTAGAACAGGGATGACCCCGGTCACGGCAAACATCAGTTTATTGGGGAGGCGTTACTTACATAGGCACCTGACGTGGCCCCGCCTCGCCGAGGACTGAAAGAGACACCTTGTAGCGGTCATTGGAAAAGGTGGCGACACTCACGGTGGTCAGAGGTAAGGGTGGGAAGCTGCTAGCAGGACTCCGGAGGGTCGGTCTGAACTGGGTGGGTGGAGGACTGTTGGCAGGGCCAGTTGGGGCCGATCTGAACCGACTGAGGAGGGGACGGTCCGTGCACACGTGCGACGAGCTCACGAGTAGCATTCGTCCTCCTGCTAAGTGGAGGTCAAGCTGTTCTACAGGCCTTTCCTGCTGAGACGCTCTTCTAGCGGTGGAGCTACGTCACTGTACTTACGCGGGGGCCAGCTCTCTGCGGCCACGCGACAGTTAGTACTTTCCTGATGTTTTATGTAAGTGCCATCAAATATCAAAACTAGTTGATTCCTGTCTAATTATATCAGTTTTCGTGCAACTCGAAGTATGATGTTAAATAACTTCTTCCCTAGTAAGATGAATTGACATCAAAACAAATTTTAATATGTGCTTTTCAAAAAATTCCAAAAAAAATATGATTCATGCTGTTCATTAGGAAAGTAAAAGATTGTTGCAATATTTTTAATGATCTAGAGCGCATTTTAAACTTAAAAAGGATAAAAAACGATCCTTCGCGATAGATACGAGCATTCGCTTTGCCCTCCGTTGGCAACGCTAGTTCGTGGCAAAGCTAGGTCGGACAGCATTAAGCATACATTTGATCATAGAAAGAACATTAAAGATTCTTTAGGAAATAACTGCTTGTTTGTTTATCCATACATGCCTATTATTTTATTTGTATTTTCACTCAAATTATGTCAATTAAAAATATAAGAGCGATCAAGGGACGTTTCTATTAATGAAAAAAAAATAATGATTTAATTTTTAACTGATGCGTTTCTATGTCCGAAAAAGGGATTGACCACAAAGTGAAACTGAATCTCTCAATCAACTATTTTCGTATTTTTGGACGAGGAATCTAATGAAAATGGTCATTTTGTTCCTAAATCAAGCATTCGCCTTGAAATTATAAAACAAAACCTGTAAACAAATTAGTAAGATGTGCAGTGAAAATTGTCCCCTTATGTTGGTTTTAAATATTAAAAATATCATAAGCAATTACTGCATATCTTAGAAAATTGTCTAAAGAATACAGTTTGTTACGTCACATGACAAAAAATAGAAATTCCGCCGAGATACAGCGTCAAAAGTGAGAAAAGCCACTCCGGATGGCCGAGATCGCTAAGGCAATAGTGCCGTAGCGGTCTCGGACCGAAGGATTGCGGATTCGAGCCCCGCATCCGGCATGGTTGTGTTGTGTTCGTACTTTCAGCCCCTATCACCATCATGTCGTGTCATCCTCATAGTTACCATCCCGTTACTCCCAATCGTGGTCGCTAATGACTTAGAAGTTGATGCGACCTTAACAAAAAAAAGTGAGAAAAGATCAAAAAAATCATTTTCGATTTTACGTCATTATGGTAACAAACAATAACAAAACTATGTTTTCTAGGTTATTTTGGGAGTAGAATAAAATAATATCATCCTCTTCTAGTTTGGTCGTGGGCCAATTTCACCCATCTTTCGACTCCGTGTACATATTTCGCTCATTTGTCGTGAACTTTTCAGAATTGCAGTTCTTTGAGAAGTTTCGCACATATTCCGGTATTTTGTGTGGAACGAGAGCTAGTAAAATTAATATTTCGGTTATGTTTATCCAGTTCATTGTTTTAACACATGTAAACATGCACGTACGCTCGGACACAATTAACAAATAATGAAACTCGTGTTATATAATAATAAGTAAGTGTAATATAATCATAAAAATAGCTACAATAATTGTTAGCAGATTTGCTTTGGAGTCAACAAACACAGTATAGAAATAACGAATATTTCTCGAACACAAATATATCACTAGATACAATACCGTTTTAAAATATCTCAAAGTGTCGAAGTAAATCTACGAGAAATATGCAAAGAATAGTGAAGGCATTTTAAAGAAATGTAATTTGAAGAATTAAAAAGTAATTTCTATAAAATCTTCTTAGGAAATTTCATAGCATGTGTTTATTTTAGTGTTGAGTTCTCAGTAACATTTTAACAAGGAAACAGCTCAAGTGCAATCTTAAATATGAGACGGAATTCCCCACACACTAAAGTGGGAAATAGGAAACTTTGTTTCTTAAACGGTGATAAAGCATAATTTGGAGGCCAAATGTAACCGACTCAGGCGACGCTTAGAGAACTTTGTCTCACGGAATTCGAAGTATACGAGATACAAAACTGTTACAGAAAGATCCACGGACATTCGGAAGCAATATGCGGCGGCTACTTGAATGAGGGGACTGGTCATTCCTTCCAAAATTGGTGAATCGCAAATGTAACTAAGCCGATTGGCAATGACTTTGTCTTTGTCGGCATCACGGGACCGAATTGGCAACTTGAGTTCTTGGGGTAGGGAAGCTTCTGTGCGGCGGGTATTGTAGATTGTCTCGCTATTTTCATTTAATACAATATGAGTTATGTCCCGTGTCCAAGCGTAGCTTTAACCTGGTCTCCCATGTTTTTAGAGTCGCGCGCAGGATTTTTGTCGAGAGGAAGGGGAAGGGGGTTGTTACAGAATATTATCCAGCCGTCATCCTGTTTTCTTATAAAGAATTTTTCATTTACGCTAAATATAAAATATACCCGTTTTAATTTTTTGTCTTATACTTAATATTTATGACATTAACAATAAATTGAATGACTTTCATTAGCATAAAAAAGAGTAAAAGCTATTTTTATAATACGTGTCATTGGTTTCTGGGGTGTGGATGGCTGCAGCCCCATGAGTATGGAGTATCACAGACCTAGGCCAGGTTAACCAACGGTCGTCAAATGAAAGCGAATCATATCTTAATGTTACTCGTCAATCACTCTCATATGATATGGCAGAAATTACATTCCTCGACGTGACATAACAGAGTTTATCGCCAGGTCAGGAACTCAGGAATGGTACAAGAAGATCTTCACCTAAAACGTTGTTTAATGTATAATATACAAAAAGAGTGTCGTTAAGTGTTCTAAAATATTGGAATGAAGATTCAGAGACAAGAAACGTGTAACATCATCTAAAAATGAACTTGGACACGTAAAAGTCATAATTAAGAGACTTATGTTACTTGAAACGGAAATTGTAGAGTTGCTTCAAGAGGTAGAAATTCACTTGTTGCCGGGGATGGGGTTAATGGCGAGCTGCGTGTGTGTTGTGCGCAGGCGCTGACGGACGCGTTCAACCTGAAGTCGGAGGCGGAGGAGGCGCGGCCGGCCAAGCTGCGGGAGCGGCTGTTCGGCCACCGGCGCAAGGCCAAGCCGCCGCCGGCGCCAGCCCCGCCCCCCAAGGCGGCTCTCCCCGTGCCGCCCACCAACAAGTTCCTGGCGCGGCTGCTGGGGCGCGCCAGCTCCGTGGAGAACCTGTCGACGGCCGGGCGGCCGCCCCACGGCGCCGCGCACGCGCACGAGTTCAACTCGCTCAAGGCTAAGTCGCTCTCCAGCAGCGACATCTCGCGCCCGCTCAGCCCCGCGGCGTCGCGCTGCCCGTCGCACACCGCCCTTCACCTGCCGCCCGCGCACGTGCTCTCACCCCGCTCCCCGCTCGCCCTCCGCTCGCGCTCCCGCCCCGCCTCCTTCCACGGCTCCTGCGACTCGCTCAGCGGGCGAATCGCCGCCGACTTTGGAGAAAGGTGAGGTTAGGTCCTCTTCTAAATATACATTTCTCCTTCATCTACCGTTCAGAGCATTTGGTGTAATGGGATTTGTCGCCCAACGATTTAAGTGTTATTGGTTTCCGTGGGGCAATAGGGATTCTTTAATCATTCCTCTTACATATCTGTACAGTAAAGTACTTGATCCTTCTGTTACTGGCTGATGCATTGAGCATGTTTGTGAAAAAATCACCTTATGGTTAACGAAGATCAATTTTCATGTTTATTTCAGAAAATTTTTGTGTTTATCAATATTTTTTCGCAGTAATTACGTACTAGACATGACAATATATACACGAAGCGTAACGATATGGACATAATTCGAAATTCAAAAATGCATTAATTTTTGAATCTTAAATCTCGACGCCTTGTCCGTAGGCGTCACCGCCGGAGAAAGTAGGATGATTCTCTCCCCAAAACTTTGTGGGTTATAGGGTAGATTAGGGAACTCCTCTATAATCTGCAATCTCATATGAGTACAAGGACCCCCTCCAATAATTTGCGGCTGCTGATGCACATGGCTTTGCCAGGAACCTATCATGCATAGACCAAAGAATATTTGGTTACTATTCGTGTAAACAACTATTCTAGTAATTGGAAAGCGAATTGGCTATATTCTACATGGGATGTTGAAGATTTTAGTGAGGATGTGTGGGTGGGTAGAGCTACAATCGACGAATTGGGGAGTGAAACGACAATCTTTGCTTGCGAACAAAGTCTAAATAAATGTTAATACTGCGCTTGAGAAAGTTTTATTTTTCAACATCCTCGATTTGAACACGTACTGTAGGCAAATCATAAAGGAGGCTCAAGGAGAAGGGTTAATTGTGTCCTTGGCAGGGACAAAGGAATACATTTCCATCAGGGGAATCAGATTCTAATGTTGAGGGCCCTTCCATCCACCCATCCGATACATTTGTCACCCTGGTGTAACGTGACAAGCACGGGGGTGAGGGGGTGGTCGGAAGATGGCGGCGGAGCCGGGACGTGCGTGGGTGGCTGCGTCAGAGAGGGCGCGCGGAGCTTGCGGAAGGCGGCGCATCGGAAGACGGCAGCGCTGCTGTCGCTGCCTCCGTGCCGCTCTGCATGTACGCCCCCGACCCTGCTTCGCTCTCTTCGCCGGAACTCACCCACGCCGATGCAGGGCCATTCCCAGAAGGCCCCGCGCCAAATACGGAGCTAGACCGGGGTTAGAGCGACCTGCGTCACTGGGCAATGAAAAATGCGTTTACTCACTGTTTACCTAGTGAGTAAATTAGCCGTACGTGCACGAGCTGGCCTCTATTCTCGTCGTCTCATACCTTCCACAGAAGACTATTGGAGTTATTTCAGTAAGAATAGCTCTTTTGATTCCTACGAAGTAATAAATAATTTTTTAAAATATTTCGTTTTTACTTTTAGTAGATTTAATTGTATTTTAAACTCGTGTTGGATTAACTCTCTCATGTTATGGTCTGCTTTCCAAATTCTTAAGGCAGATAACAATGTACAACATACCATTTTCAATAATTGCCAACTATGTTAGCGGACAAGGATATATTTTTTTAATCAGTCTTTTTCGGCTGTGAACCCTTTCGAGATGCAATACTAGCTGATAACCCGGCGTTGCTCGAGTATATATGCTCTCTATTAAACATTTTAGGATGCAACCTAATTTGGGGTAACATTTTGGGATAGCATACCTCCTCGTGTTTCTTCTCCAATACCACAGGCGTTGAAAATTGTGGAATTTATTAAGATAAGTGGCGCAAGCAGAGTTTGCACAGCCCTATCCTCATAGAAAAATCTCTCACGAAAAAAACAAAAAAAAACTTGAAATTAGGTGTAAAGGAAAAATTCTTTTCCAGGAAAAAACACTTCGCGAAATGATGGAATGATGGTTTTTTATAAATAATTGATAATTTGGATGAGTGATAATTTAAGTGGTAGATAAATGATAAATTAAATTTAATTAAATACGTGATAATTTTTCTTGATACAAAATTTCAAAAAATCCTTTTATTTATACTTATTTATAACATCTTTACTTGAGAAATTGAATGACTTTCGTTATTAGTACAGAACATTAGTGAAAACTATCTCTGGGAATACGTGTCATCGTCTCCGGTAAGAAGAGGCTCAAGCTCATGAAGTTCACATAGGGATCTCACAACTTACAAACGAAAAACCTAGACACAACACAAAACTATAATTGATGAGGTGGGGTGTTTGTCTCATATGAAACAAAATACCAGCATTCAGAAAACTTTATCAACCCAGAAATAATTTGCTCTTTCCAGCGCGTTTAAAAACAGTGGGTAATGATGGTTATGATAGAAATGAACTAACTATGAAACTAAAACTAATTAATTTTAGAAACATTACAAAGTTGAATACCGCGTGACACATATGACATTCCAATTTGTTTTTGGAATAGTTAGTAGTTTCTTTTACAATTGGAAACTAGCCTTTAAATTGTCCCTAAAACACACTTTCTCGGAGAAATGTTGTTTCTTTTTTAAATTAAACTTCACTATCAGATTGAACATTAAACTGCCCGCAATTATTTCGAATAGTCTTAAGACACCACCAAACAAGCGAATGGAAACGAATGGCGCAATCGAACAAACAAATCTACTAATTCGTTGTTAGATAGTCAATTTGGGAACTTATTAAGTTACAGATTTAAAACAACCGTACACGTTATCAGAAGGTATTGACTCTTTTTGTATTTGTACAAATCTGGGACATAGCGTCCCGAAATGAATTGTCGGGACATCAGGTCAAAGGTTAAAAATCTGGGACTGTCCCGGGAAAATCGGGACTTAAGGGATCCCCATCTGGCAAGCGCACCATTCCCCATTTCGAGGACGTTGACAGTTCTTGCTCATGTTGCCAGGCCCGCTGCTGCTGCCGTTGCCGAGGGTGAGGTGTTCGTCTGCCCGCGCTCCGCCGGTTGTGGCGAGCGCCTCGACACCAACACAGTGGTGCCCCACGCGCACGAGCGCCACGACGGCCCACTCGTGCACTACGCGCGGCCCAGCGCGCTCTGGAGCCTTCCACCGCCACTGGAGAGCGCCACCATCGCGCTTGCCGCGCCAGATGCGTCCGCCACCGCCGTGTTCGTCGTGGTGGAGAGGGTGGGCGACAGTGACGGAGGAGATGGAGTCGCTGATGGCGATGGACAATGTGACGCGCCAGGTGAGTGAGCTGTCTATGTAAAGGAGTCTAGTGATGTCGTTGGATTGTTGAGGTTGAGGGGCTGGCGTGAGACTGGAATTCGAGAAGCCATAGGTCTCAAAACATTTTCATTTTGATTCAATAATAAAACAACGCCAAATACACCGGCAGTTATTCCCTTTCTTACACAAATGGTGTGTACTGTAGAAACTCTCTGTTGTGTTTTTGGCCCCTGTCTGATATTCTATTCCTAGTCAAGAGTGTATCTTTGATCAAGAAAACCTGTGATCGTCATTCAAAACATATTTGCCTTTGCACAAAAGATCAGTTGATACACACTCGCTTCCGCGAAGGCAGATTTTAATCTTTCACATTTATGATTTACTTTGATCCTGTCTTCTTTTGTTGACGTTGGGTGGGGAGTGACTGATCTACAGACATCTTCTGATGAACGAACCTCAGTAGCGAAACTCTGCCCATAGCCCGCACCCCTCCCATTTCTCTATTCCGAACCCTTACTCCTCCGTCACCACACATCTTCACCCCCTATGCCTGCATGTCTCGCCTTACTTCACTTCACATCGTCACACTCCAACCTTGGCACCTGGAAATCGATTCTAACTTTTTTCGTTCTCTTCCTTTCTTTATCCAGCCTTATATATTATAGTTTTCTCTATGTTAATAGAAATAGTATTTTGAACACACATAATATATACATTCAACACAAAAATAGATAACACATAACGGGTTTCTTAATACTGAAATAAGGGTTGCTAGTGCTGCGTGCGCGCGCGTGCGTGTGTACGTTATTCAGATGATTTATAACTAGCTTGTTGTAATGTCCTAGAATCTTTATACAGTTTTAAAAGTATTTTCATACTTATTAATTTAAGGTTTTAATTAGATTACAATGATTCGAAAAAGTGGTTCCCCACCCCACGACTGGAACGAGTCGAATGACCCAAAGGTGGATCGGAAGGAGTCTGACTGTGACTTACAGATAGAAGGACTCACGCGGGTACTCCATGTACGTGGCGCATTCAGAAAGTAAGTTTTCGTAGGTTGCTAAAAAAAGGGAAAACAATTTCATGAAAAAGGTTTATTGTAGAAGATAGAGCGCATGATACAGTATTTTCCCAAGTCACCACCATATTTCAGACATTTGTCATATTGTGCGATCAACGTTTGTATCCCTGTGTCGTAGAAGTCTGCCGTCTGAGAAAGATACAGCCACCTGCAACTCTGCGTCACTGTGATAGCAAATGCTGGCAGAACAGGAATGTATTGAGGTGTAATAGAATATGGAAATCTTTGGGGTTAGATCTGGACTGTAGAACGGATGGTCAGACACCTTCTTGCAGAACTGCTGCAGATCTGCTGTAAGCCTAGACATGTGACCGGAAGATTACTCATACTCCTGTACTGAGCATCCCGCGTCCTTTGTGATGAATAGCTCGTCGCAAATGCGCAGTGTTGCATATAAAAGTCAGTTTACGCGTCGACAAAATCTTTTTAAATTTACTCGTGGAGCCAAATCTCTATTGCTAACCGGGAAATTTGCTTTCTGGGTGTTTCATCTCTTGTATCACTGTTAGTGTCTGGGGTAAAATAAAATCCAGGTTTCATTGCCTGTGACAATCCAAGCAGAAACTTACCGCTACTATCGTGGTTTCGTTCTAGAAATGGTAATGCTGATCCCATAAACTTTGTTTCGTGTTCGGTAGTCAGCTGCTTTGACTGCCACCTCGCACACACTTTCTTAAACAACATAGGTTTCGTGACTATTTCGTGAAATAAATTGAGGGCTAGAGTGAAGTGGCTACTGACTTCCGTAAACGTGAAAGGACTGTTCTTTTTAAAAATGCACTGCAGATTCGCAAGATCCTCCATGGAGAGGGATGGCCGCCCAATGCGCTCCACATCATGCACATTTTCGCTACCGTCTGAGAATTCCATGCACTAGCGATGCACTGTCTGCTTCCTCATGATGGCCGACCCACAGATTTGACACATTCATCTACGAATTTGGATCGGTTTCTTGTTCTGTGCGCTGGAAACGTTCAGTGAGCGAACCTTACAAGCGGCGGGCGATGGAATTTGAACCTCCATCTTTATTGAATATACTCGTGTTACCGTGGAGAATCTGGCAGGTCCACCTGGCCCACACGATTACCTACTCATTAATATACGCGCAAGTTTTTTTGATTTTTCGCAGCGGGGTGAGGGGAGAGGAGGGCTTTGACTACTTCATTGCACTCTCATTAAAAGTGCGTACCAGCTGTGGGCATGAACTTAACTCACCAAAGAGTACCATGAGAGATGCTACGATTATTTTAAATGTACTAGGTTGTTGTTGCCAGTATTGTAAGTTGGTATGTGCCACTCCGTGTCGAACCTAAGTATCTCAGTGTGTCGTGCTATTCATCGCTGGGAGCTCGTGTATCAAGAAAACTTGCACACAACTCTCTCACGCACGCGCGCTAGCCTTTCCAAATATATGGCCTTCTATCTACTAGCCGGGAACTTACTTTCTGAATGCGCTAGGTATGGTTAGGACTTCAAGAATATAAGTATAGAAGCGCAAACGATAAAGTTTGTACTTTTTTCTTTCAAACTTGCTTTTTGTATTTTTATACCTGTGAAATGGCGTATCTCCCTCTGAGAATGAAACTTTAAAATTGAAAATTTATTCTGAAATCTTATATTAAGATATTCTTCATAGCTTATCTATGGGTTTTCTGATTGTCGGATACAGTAGTGCCCTAGATAAGGTAGTAATGATGGCATACTTTTATCATTGACCTTCTGATTGTAATCATAAAATAGCGGCCGCTAAACTATTATATCAGGCATCACAGTTCACCTCAAATCCCACAAACGGTTGAGCACGGTATCTTATATTTGGAAAGGAGACATGATTATACGTATAGAACGTGAAGAAAGAAAGTGTGGGGTACTCCTGACTTTTTAAGCTGCAATAATTCTGTTAGTTTTATTGCATCCTGCCAAATTTTATTGCATGTGTCATGAAATGTTTGCTTAAAATAACATGATGAAGGGATATAAAATGATTAAGGGATGTCGACCGCACATCGTTCTACAATTCCACCGCCAGAATCACTGAAACACTACAAAAATCTAAAAAAATATGTACAAATATTCGTGGAAATATTGGTTTGGATGTGATTGAATTTATACATGGTAATTATTTTAAATAAATGAGTAAAATACAAGTACAAAAAAAAAGTGTTTTTTCGGGGAAGGGGAGGGGAGGATCCCGTGGGGAGGAGCCCTGGAGTGCCGAGGCGGCACGTGAGTGGGCATTGCCGCGGGTGGGCGTGGGGGATGCGGGGCGTCCGGCGGAGTCGCTGCCTCGAAGAGCGCCTCGAGACGCGATGGGGCGCGGCGCGGCCAACAAAGAGCGGAGGCGGAGGCGTGGCTTTCGCCTCCCCCGCGCGAAATCGCATCTTCCACCGCGGAGCACGACGCTGCCTGCAGGAGGGGAAACGTTTGAGCCGCATTTAAGGAAATGAGATCTCGATCCACCGGTAGAAAGTGAGACCGTGTTTTTATTTTGTTTCGGTTTTACAATGCCTTTAAATCATTGTTTTTCGCTTCAGTTCTCAGATGAAGTAATTTCCGAAACGATTAAAATAATTGCACTAGATGCACACTTATTTATTTTGATCTTAAAAGGTAGCAGACGTCGAAAAGAAGATGTCTTTAAAATTATCATTGAATTATTTTATTGCAGTAAAGAATGTTTAATTCTGAAGGTTAACCTACGTGTTAATTGTTAGCTAATCATACGTGTTATGTAACGTAATCCTACAGGTAAATACCATTTATGATTGGGATTTTTTAAGCATTTACTACCACAATAACACATTTAAAATTTAATAAATTATACGGAAATGTAAAATTATAATTTTACAATCATTTGTGTAAAATGTATTTCTTATGAATACTCGTCTATTCAAAAATGAGCAGATAGTGGTGGCAGCTCAAACATTCAAATTCAGCCGAAGAAAGTGATATTTCGAGCGTCTGTAAAAGAAACTGGTAGTTGCATGTAAGTGAACTCGTTAACAGTTTGACTAACAAGAGATGTGAGCTGTTTTCATGGTAGTTCCCATTTGCACCATTCTCCAGTCAGGCTAGCAACCGGCGGATCATAACGCTCGAAATGAGTGACAGCTAAACTGGCAAGATCAGCTGAGGTGGCGAAATGCCTACACATTTCAATTTTTAAAGGAAAATCCGCTCCCTTCGCCCCTTCGTATTTAGGACGTTGTTATACGGTGTTTTCCAACGAAGATCGATTGCCGCCGGACGTGTGATCACCATTTCCTCTGTGAAGTACGTTTTTATGCTCGTTTCGATGTAGCGGTGGCCATGGAATAAGGGACAGACCTGTCATCACGGGCATCTGTGGCAGGGGGGGGGGAACACGTCCCTCCCTCCAAATATTTTCAAATACATTCAGTAATTTCATTATAATTTCATTTTCAACTCAAAACATTTTCAATGTACATATGTGACGATGATTTTTTTATCTCTACATATAATTCAGGCTGTGAAACGATAACTTGGAATACTCAAAAATGTTTTATCTTCCTTTATTAGTCAAAAAGTAAAATACGCGTGGGGAAGTAACAATGTTCCTGGTCTAGTGAATGTCGGTTTCTCTTATTAGTACCGTCCTCTCCGGGGCCTGCCGTCGTTTCTTAGTTTACTGACAGACTGCATTATTGAATCAGGAGTAACTGCGACGTAACTTAAACCTTTATAATTCACTGCGTGCACCCTGTGAATGAATCCAATGAATCAATAAAAAAAATTCGACAGCTTAACTATAGTTCCGCGGAGGTATATACGTCCTTTAATGCCCCCCTCTCATTCCACGTGACAGAAACGCCCATGCTTGTCATTATAATATATTGGAATACGGAAAGAGCGTGAACTGTGCCTAGGAAACAGGCCTAGGACGATGAATGTTTTTTAATTTAACCAGCGCTTCATTTGGGTTGAAGGTTCTTCTGCATGTCGCAAGTATGTGACGCATCGGTATTACTTTCCTTACGAAGGAAAAAAAGATGGTATTTTTTTCGGTCTTAAAAACCGATGCAAACTTTACCGATTGTGCTCGAACGTATCTATACTCACTACATCATCGAAGCTGCTTATTTTCGACCGTATTTTATGACTATTGGCCAACAGAAAATTGTATCTAGTTCACATAAAAGATTTCTGTTTTTTATATCATTATGCAATTTTACTCCTTTGCGTTTGGAGGAAAAATATGCTTTGCTTTTATCGCATGTGGAGACTCTTCTTAGGGCCTCACGCCAATAAACACGCTAGAACCTTACTTTAGTCAATGTACAGTGGTTACTGTCGATGTGGAAACCAGATGTGTATTCGGAGCAACATAGAACTAGTTCATCAAAAGAAGGATGTGGCCATATCGGTCCCTGCGAAAAAGGCCTCAAGTACAGACTTCTTATATTACGCAGGTTTCAACATATATGATCTTGATACACGTCAATAACTCAAAATATATAAACAATAAATTGCAGAAAATTTATGTAATATATTGATAAGTACATGTCCCAAATGTTCTTAAATACTTGTCTTCAAATATTTTCAATTTATTCTGGGGTCCACCGTTCGCCCTTGGTGTTGGGGTAACGGATTAACATAAGTATGGTACTAGGTAATTCAAACGCAGAGGTTTCATTTAGAAAGAATTCGGAGCATTCTACTCAACCAAATTTAGTGATTTTTTTCTTTAAATGAAATATAGTGCCTCTAGATGAGTTATCAATTGTTCTTTAACCCATTTTATAGTTAAAATCCTAAATTTGAATAATATTCAAAAATTATTAGAATGAACCTTATATATTATTTGATCATTTCATCATTATTATGTACTACCTACCTACTACCTACTACATTCGATGTAGTTAGTAGTCTTCATCGTGTTGTTTGGCGACTTGCAATAGTTCTAGGAAAAGCAGTTAAACGTTTAATAGCGAGTGTTTAAGTTCAAAGATTAATTAGCATTTTTAAATGCCATAATTAGTGAGTGAATATAAATGCAATGCAATCGTCTGGTAAGTGTATTGACAAAATATGTTTATTAGTTGTATGTAATGCATTACATTTTTAAGTTAGAATCCACAACATACTACATGCAGATATCTTGCTAAATGTATAAAATTTCAATTACATTTTCAGAAACATATTTATGTTACTGTCTGTTCACTGCGAGTAGTGATTATATTGTTACAGAATTTATAAACATCTCAAAGCATTCGTTTTGGAAAATGACAACTGAACCTCATGAAACAATATGTTTGAGGATTTCTGTGGGCTAATTTTGAGTTATCTTCTGTTGGCATTTTTTCTACATACTTTCTTTTGTGCGATATAATCGCACGGATTCAGCTTTTATCGTAAGAAGCGCATGTCTTAATATATTATTGGGGGTATATTGTGTGGTTATTGTAGACTTGTTTTCAAAACTAAATGAAACTATAACAGAAGATGTACTTCGGAGTTTGACCAAACTTATGAATTCTATGAAGTCAGGATAGGTGAAGTCATGATAACGAGAATGACTCAGTGATCGTGAAAGTATTTCACCATTCCTTCGCGCTATTGAATCACGTTTTAGAATCCTTACTTGTGGTATGTACCTTGACAGACGCCAGCTTTCAAGGTTTCTGTTCTTTTTTACGTTTAGTATTTCATGCTCGTGGTCTTGCCTTTTCGTACTGAGCTTTGAAACCTTGGAATGAAGTAAAGGCGAAAGTTTTTCCTTTACTGATATGAATGAGTAAATAAAGTCAAAAAATGCCGAGTATGAATTAAGTATTCCCCAACACATTATTTCATCGAGACTAGTGTGTGAGTTGACAATGTTCGAGTTGTTTATATTTTTAAAATTAATTTTTATTAAATTTATACCCCGAACGTATTATTTTTTTAAATAAAAATACTTCCACGTTTGTTTAAATCTCAGTCCTCCATCAACAAATATTCGATCAGTATTTCTTGTTTATAATTAGAGAAAGTCTCAGAAATTTTTCAGAATTGGAGTTCGGAAAACCAGGACGGTTATTGTAGAGTCAAAGCCAAATATATAGTATTACTCACAAGAAAATTTGTATTTCAAGATGGCTATAAACATGTTTTACATGCGCATAAAATTAATTTGTTTCGTCAACGCCCGGTTACCGCAATGGAGGCTGTTGAGGTAACAAACTAAGTCCGTTATTTATGACATCGCCCGTGCGTTTGTGAGTTTTCCGTTTGATTCGGTTTTCGTCATTATAAAGAAAATTTATTTTATGAAGAATGAGGTATAATAAAGATATAAAAAAAATTTACGAAACGAAGAAAGATATGTATGAATTCCCAAATTCAAATAACGTCATCTTGAGCGATAAGTAATTTGTTTCATTTGTTCTTAATGGACGTCGGATGTTAAATACCTGCATGGATGCCGGCCAATAAAAAAGGGGAATCGTTCCTGTGATTGCGTTCTGTCAGTGCAACAGTTCAGGACTGCAAAACGGAATTATTCACACAAATAAAGACCACTTTCTAGAATAAAATCGAAAAATGCCTGCCTTGGAAGAAAACGGAATTTTTAGGTCTGTGAGTTAAGGTAAAGTTGTGGGTCAACAGTATTCAATTTATTGCGTAATGCATTGCTATTCTGCGGAAGATGGCTAGGACAAACGTTTTCAAAAATGTAATGCGACGTTTTGGACACAATCGTCTTTCCGTAATTGCGCCTCGTTTTACTCTTTTTGAGAGAAGAAAGTAACTATTACTTTGCACATTAATTCTCAATCAAACTTTTTTCAACAGTATCACTCCTTTGGTTAATTTGCATCATTTTCACTCTTATCTGGTTTCACGCATACCATATCCCTTTCTTTTTTCTCATATCTGTTTTTCATTTTTGTTACACGTTGTTTACTCCCGTTAATCGTACCGGTCAAGTGCAGGGTAGTGTGACGTTACGCACGGGTGGCAACACTTAATAGTAGATCGTTCGCGCTTTCTTATTAGTTATACTATGGATTCTCCCACGAATATTTAACACGCTCCGTTTAAATTGAAAGTAAGTTTCTTACAGTGATATGTTTTATGATTAGTTAGCATGGACTGCGTTTAATCTAAGACATGCACTTCATTTCAATGTCACTCACTGTTTCGAGTTTTCTTGAATTACATCCAGGTCCATGACGCTTTCCCTTTGAATGTGATTACTTTAATGATTTGGGGTCGGAATGCATACTACGAGTAATAGTAGAAGACACGGGTGCAAGAAGAGACCATCGTTCAGGTAGAGCTTTTAAGACCATGAAGCACGTATGTAGTATTATTCATTTTAGCATTACTTTAATCAATGAAGAATCAATCAAAACTAGGATTCACACACAAGTAAAAGTAATTGCCATCTCTCTAAATAGCGGTAGGAAAAGTGTTCCTTGGAGAATTTTCCTAGTTCCGTAGATCCATCAAGGCCGTTCTCATAAAAATATGAAAACTCAAATTTAAAACGAATTTGGAAGTAAAACTGCTCATGGCTGTTGATGTAGTATTCTCCAAAGTAATGTCCGTATGCTTAAGTTAAAGCTAGAGCAATAGATCACGGATTTTCCTTGCGCAGTCACACTTATTGCAGACAATTGTTTTTACACTCAGCTATTCTTAGAACTTAGAGGAAACTATTATTATTATTTTTTGAATAACAGAAATATCTAGATTCTCAAATATTTGTATGTAGTGTAACGTTACCAGACTCTGCGGTTTCAGAAGAAATAAAACTCTCCATTTATTTATTTTCAAAAATCCCATCTTCAGGAGAGCATGGCGTCCACCACTATTCTATCTCAATGTTTGCGTTTGGTACGTGTAAGTAGTTGTAACCTTAATAATATATTCTTCTTGAGAAGTTGACCTGTGGAATGGGAATAGTTGTGAATGAACCGTCCAATTCCAAGGCAGCTGCTCCATAATAGTTAACATACCCTGCATGTTCATTTATGTAAAAAATAATGGAAGGGAAGTCAACGTTAGTCCATGTTATATTATTGAAATGACAGTGTAACATCTCAAATTAAAGCTGAGCTGGGACACTAAAGAAATTTTCCCAGTAAGGTAAAATTCAAAGAATTTTAAAGGTTAAATTCATGTTTTAAGGATATCGTAACTTTCTCAACAAATTGTGCGCATAGTGAAACTACAGGTCTTCCCAGCAGCGTTTTCTGGTTAAGGGCGGAATATATCCCCAACCCCCTCAGCCATCAGTGTGGGTTGGCTGCGCGCGGTCCGAACGCTCTCCGCTTGACATCTGTAAGTGATTAGGATTCGAAGGCTGTCGACGAATTAGGTTCCTTTAGAAACCACAAACTCACCAAAGTTTAAATTCATAAATTAAATTTCTGGAGTCGAACCCGTGACCTCCTATTCGTTGGTAAGCTCGCGCGTTTGTCGGCGCCTCTGCCGGTTGTGCTAATTGCGCATTTTTATACAAATGCCAATCTGACACCTCGTGATGTGTGTGTGTGATTGCTTGTAGCTGAGCGAGTGCGCCGCTGTGCGTGGGTGGGTGGCGCGGGGCACGCGTGAGGCTGAGGGAGGGGAGGGGAGGGGAGGGGTGTGGGAGAGCGTGCGTGCAGAACATCGCGTGCCGCACAGCGTCGTCGGCTGCAGGTGCGTTGACAAGGTCAGCCGGCGCATGCGTGTTCGGCGAAACTTTAAATAACTGCTTTGCGAACGTAGTTTTCCATCCATGAAATGGACTTTTAAACAAGGGGATACTATGTTTCATTTCCATCTTGAAGATTGGAATTTAAATAACTGTTCTACATTATTCGGAATTTGATAATTATTAACCTGGGGGGGGGCGGCATAAAATGAGTTAAACGCACTTAAATTTCGGCACAAGAGATTGAAGAATAATTTGGTTTTCATGGTTTCGTTTGCTGATGTCGAGTTTGATACTCATTTCCATGAAACTGTTCTTCCAGTGATGAAATTAGCATGAAACATGTTTATAGCTTTGTACTAATAGGAAGTGCACATTTAACACTTGAGAAACATAATGTGTGAAGAGGGTAATTCAAAATGCTCCTCAGAATGATGTATTTGTTGATTGTATTTGTTTAGGAAGAAGGCTTTTACATAAGTGCTCATTGAATTGTTCAGAGAAGTCAGGAAATTTTAGTGCACAGCCAGGTGAAAAAACTCCGCAGTGCATAGCAGCGCGAGTATGAATATATTAATTGCGAAGCACGGGTGTATAGGCCTAGTACTTCTAAATACACGACGTTGTGTGAGAAGAATAAAGGTCGATCAAATGCAAATTATGCTAATATCAAGTTTTAATAATTTACACCTGTAGCTATTTTCCTAATTTACACAGTATAATTAATTTCGTAATTTATTTCAGTAATAAAGTATTGGGCAGGGGAAATGTAGTTTATACTTATTCCCGATTTCCAAGAAATGCAATTACTAATATGTTTAACATAGCAATAGTATTTTTCAAGACGGAAACGATACGAAGGACGCTCGAAGCTGTTTGCACGCGTGTGTTTAAGGTCAGCGAGAAAGGGTTATACAATGAATGGAGAAATGCTCTTCGACCCTAGGTGGAGACTTCCCCATCTGGCTCAGTTTTGCGCTGCGCCACCAAATTAGTGGATGCGTCACGCTAAGGCTTCGAGAAACACCAATAATCTTCAATAATCAGTCAAAATCCCCCAAGCCAAATTCCAAAATTTGAAAGCAGTGATTTTTTGCGAAGTACGTAGTTGTTTGAGAACAGTTCTTAATAAAGTGAGATGAAGCACATGAGTGAAAAATTATAGAGCAGAAACTGTTAACTAGTTTAGTTGAGTTGAGAATACGAGAAGACAGCCTGCGAATATTATTATGAAGAGTCCATCATGAGTATTTGCGATCTCAAAAGATTATAACCAACAAAATCCTGACGGAATTCAAGAAAATAACGATATCTGTGGGAGCTTGGATATGAAAAATTGTATTGTACTCTCAAACAACTAAATGAAAATATGTTTATTTTAACTAATATTTTCAAAAAGTAAAATTAATGGAAGGTAGAAGTCTGTGCCATTGTTTACAGTTTTTTTTCCGAGAGACCATCACCATGGCAGACTTATTTGCATCCTTACAAATTAACAGGACCTGGGGTCAAGTCCGTTCTCAGGAATGCAATTTGGAACAAATGTCTTACTCGTCCGATGTGAAGCGCAACTCCTCTTGGCATACACTTACGTGTGAACTGTGTCGCGCACGTTTGCCGTTTTCAAGTGAACTTCTAACGGCGCCGAAGTGGATGGTACCCCCGACAATGAGATTGTTGTCGTGGGAAAGCACAACGCGACAAACACAAAAGTATAACGTTCTCCATTTTGAATACCGAGTTTGCTGTCAGAATAATGAGTGCACATAATGTCCTTCCTTTTGAAAAATCTGTCTCGCAGAATTTCCTCACCCTCGTGACATGTATTCCATCAAAAAACATGCAATTTCCCTTTCCGTGTTAAGTCAACCCAAAGTCAACATCGACAGAAATACATCGTTTTAAGAGCATATCGCATATGTGAGTTCGTAATCTGAAGGATTGAAGGAAATGATAACTTCTTTGATATTCAATTTCAATGACAGCAAGAAATCGAGGTCATCTTTCGTATTTTTCATGTTTATTTTTCTTTTCCTTAATTGTAAAAAATAATGGTCGGAAAGTCGTATGGGGAGTGTGTTGAATGAAAAATATTATTATTGATGATAATGCCAAACTCTGATAGGGCGCTGATTCCCAGCTCATATAATACAGCGATTATAATAAATGTGAAAAAAGTGCTATAAAATAAGCTATTAATAGCATGAAGCACATTAAAATGTGCTATTAAATGCTTATAAAACTAGTCATAAAAATTGGAAACTTTGTTGAGTATAATGCTCATTTAAGGATACAATTGCAGTCCAAAGATCCGACTTACGTGGCTCAGGGCATTAACTGATAGCGCTGCAGTGCCTCTGACCGGGTTGTCCTAGAAGTCGAGTCCCGACGGTGGCAGGATTTTTGACACCTACGTCGAATGGTTTCTGCTTCTGGAGAGAATTTTGGGAGCAGATTGCTCTGATCGCTAGTTTTACATTGTTTCTTCGATCGGCATCAGGCAAATGTTGGAGCAGTAACGTAACAAACGGGCTACGGACCGCGCGCGATCATTCCTACCTCTGCCTTGTCCTATCCTCTCCCCCTTACACGCACTACACTATCACACACGCCGGGAGACAAATGGACAGGTTAGAGCGCGTTCCGGCTGGCGCGGTGCCCTGCGGGTGCGAACACCTAGTTAGGGGAAAACCCTCATGCCGACTTGAGATGTCACCGTCCAGCGGGAAAAATATCAGCTACTTCACGCAATAAAATAATGCACTTCACTTACGTTACTAAGCAGTTGAAACGCTTGCGTTCGGAAATTAATCAATAAATCAACAAAAAAGCGTACCGCGTCCTCATCTTTCTTTCTGCCATTAACTTCAACATTTCCTTCAAACAATTTATGCGTACTATTTAATGCAATTCAATTCCTAGAACATTATGACAACTCTTCTTCTTTAGATTCACAATGTTGTACTGTTCATGAGATATTCTCCTTTAAAACCCTTCCTGTTGGTTTGTGCAAGCACTATTAAGCGAGTTTTATGTGACGTTTAGCGCCCTTCGCATTCACACTTCATAACACTTGTGTACGTTCGAGTAGTATTGTTCTGTCCGCTTTCTCTGGAAAACAGAGCAGAGCTCAGTCAGAAACCCCAACCGTAATAGCGCTAACCGCGTGTGCCCTTTTCGCTGAAAGCCTTGCACATACAAAGGCCAAGCTGTCGTGTTCCAGAGCAAGAGTAGAAAGTGGAAGTGACAGGAACGAGTAGAAAATTTAAATATACGAAAAGTACTCTTTTGATTTTGGTTAAACTTTGGAATACCCCCACCAACCGCCCGTTGGACCTGCTTCTCTTAGAGACTGCATTCTTAGAACGCGACAACGGAGGTAATTGAATGTTTGCTGGTCAAACAGAGGCAGATTGCTTACGCCTTGAACTTAGGGTTGTGTGAAGGTGAAGGTGAAGGTGAAGGTGAATGTTTGTTCCTTAGTAATCAATGTAACGCACGACCAGGATGTTGGTGAAAATAATTACTAAACTTACAATGCTTAATAAGTTTTGAAAGTTTTGATGTTACAGAGCAAAATTAGGTTTTCTGTGGTTTCTTCGTCCATAAACACGAAAATGATATTTAAATACAGTGATTATCTTTTGTTTTTGCGATCACATCACTCATTAGGCACATATTACAATACAACAAGAAACAATATTTTTAATTAATACTGAATGTGTTACCGTTAGTGCGAATCCTTTTTTGTGTGTATGTGCTGATAATGTGCGGATCAATGAGTAACCCTTTTCACAATTAAGCAGTTGTCATCTAACCCGGCAGAAGTCCTTTTTGCATTGTACTTGTCTACGAAATATGTTGGTAGAACCGTGGAATGTTCATCGCGTATAATGTCTGCATCAATTTCATCTCTGTGGCGTGTTTACCCTGAGTGCGACGCGTGTTGTTGCAGGGTGGTGTCTGTGGGCGTGGGCGGCGGGCGCGCGGGCGGCGGCGGCGCTGGGCGCGCGGGCGGTGGTGCGCGCTGGCCCCCGCGAGGCGTCGTTCGCGCTGCCGTGCTCTCGCCTCGCCGCCTCGTGGGGCGACGCGCGCCGCTCGCCCTCCGCCTCGCGGACCACGCGCTGCAGCAGCGCTTCCCCGGCCGCCCCGCCGCTCGCCTGACTCTCGAATCACGCCACGCCCAACGACCCGTGAGGCCAGCCAGCGCCAGTCGCAGATTCTCAATAGCTCAAGGTGTACGTGCACTTCGGCCCAATGCTCCAGATCACCGCGTCCAACGACCTCTGACGCTACCCAGCGCCAGCCACACATTCTTCACAGGATCTCAAAAGGCCCATGTGTCCGTTCTCTTCGGCCTATTGTTCCAGATCTCCACATGCCCAACGACCACTGAGACCAGCCAACGACAGCCAGTCTTCACAGGCTCTCAAAAACCAGAGATACACGTGATCGTCACCCTGTTGCTCCAGATCACCACTACGCTCAATGACCTCTGAGGGCCAACCAACGCCAGCCACAGATTCTTCACAGGATCTCAAAAGATCCAGGTGTCCGTGCTGTTTGGCCTATTGTTCCAGATCTCTACCACACCCAACGACCACTGAGACCAGCCAACGACAGCCAGAGATCCTTCACAGGCTCTCAAAAACCAGAGATAGACGTGATCTTCACCCTCTTGCTCCAGATCACCATCACGCTCAATGACCTCTGAGGCCAACCAGCGCCAGCCACAGATTCTTCACAAGCTCTCAAATGCCCAAGGTTGATGTGCTCTTCAGGATACTGCTCCAGATCACTACCAGGTCCAACGACCAACGATGCCTGCTAACAACAGTCAGAGATTCTTCACAGACTCTCAAAAGACGAGGGTGTACGTGCTTATCGGTATATTGTTTCAGATCATCAGCAAGCCCAGCGGCCATTGGGGCCAACTAACGACAGCGAAAAAAATTTCTCAGAGTCTCAAAAGGCGACTTGTTCGTGTTCTTAAGCTTATTGCTTCAGATCTCATCTTGCAAAACGACCACTGAGGCCGACAATGAAAGCCGCAGATCCTTCACGGGCTCTCACAAGTCCAAGGTGTATGTGCTTTTAGGTCTATTGCTCCAGATCACCACTAAGCCCAACAACCTCTGGAGCCAACTACCACCAGCCACAAGATTCTTCACAAGCTCTCAAAAGGCCAGAATGAACGTGTTGTTTAGACTGTTGCTTCAGGTCATCGCCACACCCAACGAACGTTCGAGTCAGCCAACGACACGCAAGACGACCACTGATGCAAACAACGACAGGCAGAGATTCTTCACAGTTTCTCAAAAGGCCAAGGCGTACGCACTCTTTGGCCTATTACTTTAGATCACCACCACGCCCAACAACCTGTGAGGCCAGCCAACGGCAACCAGGGATTCTTCAAAGACTCTCAAAAGCCCAAGGTGTTCGTGCTCTTCAGTCTATTGCTCCAGATCACCACTTCACCCAATGACCTCTGAGGCCAGCCAGCGCCAGCCTCATATTCTTCATAGGCTATCAAATGCCGAAGGTGTACGTCTTCTTCATCCTATTGCTTCCGACCACCGCCACGCGCGATGACCTCTCAGGTCAGCCATCAAGAGTCAGAGATTCTTCACAGACTCTCAAAAGGCCAAGATGGGCGTGCTCTTATGGCGTTTCCTCAAGATCACCACCACATCCAACGACCTCTGAGGCCAGCCAGCGTTAGCAACAGATTCTTAAGATGCTCTCCAAATCCCAAGGTTTACGGCTCTTCAGATTATTGCTCCAGATCACACCACGTCCAGCGACCACTGAGGCCAGCTAACGCCATGCAGAGATTCTTCACAGGTTCTCAAAAGTCCAAGGTGTGCGGGTTTTTTTCGGGCTATTATTCTAGATCACCACTACGCCCAACAACCTCTAGGGCCAGCCAGCGCCAGCCACTAGATTCTACACAATCTCTCAAACGGCTAAGACATACGTGATCTTCAGCCTATTGCTTCAGATTGCAACGCTCAACGACCTTTCAGCCAATCAGCCAACGACCGGTCAGCCAATGATCGCCAGGTGATCACTGAGGACAGTCAACGACACAGACATTCGTCACAGCTTCTCAATAGGCCAAGGGCTACGTACTCTTCGGCCTATTACTCTAGATAACCTCTTCGCCCAACATCTGAAGTCAGCCAGCGCCAGACACAGATCCTTTACAGGGTCTCATAAGTCCAAAGGTTTATGTGCTTTTCAGCCCATCTAACTCTGAGGCCAGCCAACGACAGACATTCTTCATAGGCTATAAGCCAAAGTGTACGTGCTCGTTAGTCTATTGCTCCAGATTACCACCACTACCGATTACTTCTAAGGCCAGCCAGCGCTTCTACAGCGCTCCTTTGTAGACTCTCAAAACCTAAGGTGTATGTGCTCTTCGTCTTATAGCTCCAGCACGCCACCACGTCCAACGACCTCTGAGGCCAGCCGCCACCAGATAAAGATTCTTTACAGTCTCTCAAAAGGCTAAGGTGTACGTGCCCAACGACCTCTGAAACCACACTGCGCTAGCCACACATTCTTCACTGACTCTCAAAGCCCATGGCGTGCTCTTCGTTGAAATGTTTCAGATCACCATGACGCCAACGATCACTGAATCCTGTCAAAGATTCTTCGCCCTATGGCCAAATCTCATGGCGTACCTGCTCTTCAACTGATATTCACCCGACTGATATTCACCCGATGACAACACCCGCTGAGGCCAACCGACTGGAGGAAGTTCGTCAAATTATTGTTTCTCAGAAGCCAATGTATACGTGCTCTTCAGCGTGCTGTTGAATCTCTCTCAGAACTGACGACTACTGATACCAATGTGCCTCCTGCTGTTCAATCACAAACTTCAACGGAAAACCTGAGGCCTCAACCTGAGCGTGGGGTCCTTGAAGCCCACACTTCTCGACTTTGTGCTAGCCGATCAGGTCACGCAGTTCCCAATAATCAAGGGGCGAGTCTATTCTCATTAATGGAAGAATGGACTTACCAGAATATGATTTTTCATTGCGGTGCTCCAACTCAACCTAACGGCCAACTAGCAGTTAGACAGCAAGCAATATTCTCGTCTCCCTGTACCAGGGTTCCCATGCTCTTCAGCCTGCCACTGCAGAACTTACGGAGCAGTGAGCAAGAGCGCCGTGATATAAGCAGGTGATAGACTGGCGTTAGCTGCATAGATGGTTCTCGGTCTCTGAGTCCAGAGACTACTGAACCTACACGCTAACGCTGGCTGACGCATGGGAGGTCACCTAGACTATATTATATTATGTCTCGTCAACCAACTCATCACCACAGCCCAGAAGCGGTACACTCACGAACAGGAAGAAGTTCATCGGAATGTGGAACATATTTTACTTCACGACCTAATGTATCTTTGTTTTGGAATAATCTGAAAAACATTATCAAAAAATGAAGGCTACAGAGTCTAGTGAACTCCCTAAGACGTTATTTCTGTTATTTTACTTGTAATTGTGATTTAAATGTGCTTGAACTTGAACATGACCTTGTAATTGTAATTTTATATTATTTTACATACACTTGTGCGTGAATCTGCACTTGTGATTTCGTCCAGATGGCGATCTTCAAGTGGTCAACTAAATCCAAGCTGGCCTAAGTATTTCCCCAAGGGTACATTACATTTGTACTCACCGCCATGAAACTGCGAGCTTGACCGGCTTAGAACGAAGAGCTGACAGTGATAAACAAATGAGTGCCAAAAGTGAACGTGAAATGTGCAGTATTTTGTTTTTTGATGAATGAAATTTATTGAAGTTTAATGTGTAGGTGTTCGATGAAGACATATGTAAGGTTGCAAAGTGCATATATCGCTACTCTCAGTGTCATGGAGTTACTGAAAATCATTTAGGGAGAGGGAAAATATAATATTCGATTTTGTGGTATCTAAATATAATTCTTAAAGATTGAGAGAGGCAACGTCCTCGGACTCTTAATTTTGAATGAACTCAATATTGTGCGCATTCCTTGCAGAAGGAATTATTTTTAAAAATGTAAAAATGTATTTTGTAAAAATCTCACCCTCAGAAAGCTATCTTTCTTAGAAGGTTCGTTTGCCATTTATCGTGCTTTTGCTTTTAATATGATTTGAATAAAAAGTTGGTGCTTGTTCTGGAACTATTCTTCCCCAAAATGTAGGCCTTCTTTGAAATATACTGATGGTATTTGACGAGCTTTCCCAACAGTTATTAATTAACACGAAGTACTGTGTATTTTTTAGTCATCATTGCAATTCATCTCATATGCTAGTCTTTCTGCTATGATTCTACTCCTGTATTACCGTGATTGTTCCGTGTACGATTATATCGTACGTATACGATCATACCGTGTAAGGCGGCGATGGTGTAACGGTTAGCGTACTGGACTGTCTTACCCAAGTTGGCGGGTTCATACCCGATCGAAGCCGTGGATTTTTAAGGGCGAAAAAATTCTTCGTACGTCTTCCTTCGGAGGGGAAGCCGGCTGTCCCATGTTCGTAGATTTACTTGCATGTAAAAGATCCTCAAGCCTAAATGACGCCTC